ACATAATATTGTTTGCATTTAACGTAAAGAAATTATTTTTGTGACTTTTTTAAAGAAAAATATTTTCTGTAGACTGCTGCCAATCAACATCATGTTGCAGGAGTATTAAATTATATTGATTTTCGCCCCTTAATCAATTAATTTTTTGTTAACTCGAAAAAAAAATCAGCACATCGATTGTTCTATTTTTATTTTAACCTACTTCAAACTACTCACGTAATTAAATTATACACTTAATTGAACTTATTCCAGCAATTAAACCCAAGGCGTGTCTCTACTTTATTATTCATGCTTACGACAAAATAAATATTCCTATTATAATCTCACACCGACATCCGTAGACTACGTGCCAGAATGATAAAGGTATTAGTTCAATTTCTTCGACAATAATGAAAACCTATAACAAGCCGTATACCAAAAAGAGATCAAAGCAAAAATAGAAATGAAAGAGGAAAAGCAATTACTTGTTAAAATTAAATTACATTTATACCATGTCATTAATATACAGGTACGGAAATTTAACCGCGGATCATCTGTACCAAATCTATTAAGAGGTGAGTGTAAGTGGGAGTGAAGTGACAGTCGTAGGGGAAACTGGGGACACTTGATTACCCCTTTCATGTTCATCTAATTTTTTTCTTAATTTAAAATTTTCTGTGAATTTAATGGTATCAGTTGTCAATAAATGTACTTACCTTTATGTCAGAAAGTGATTTATAATTTTAGATAATAAATGTGGAAGTAATTAAAAACATTTCTATTGAAATTGTACCATCTGACCCCTACTGGGGGAGATTTGATGCATTGACAGGATCATGTCTCCCAATACTAAAAGAAGGGAGAATGTATAAAAAATATCAAGAAAATATAAGACTAATCAGTATTTATTTATTTTAAAAAACAGCAAGAATTTTCCTAAAAAAGAAAAACGTATTCTAAATAAAATGCATTTGTTAAACTTAAAAATAAAATTACTTCAAACACAAAGTTACATTAAAAAAAAAACCATTTTGATTAATTTTCAAATAAATCGGTCGAAATTCTTAAAAATATTAATTCAGATAAATTACTGAAAATTAAAATTTTTTTAAAGATTTTTTAAATTCAAATGTGCCGACGCGTCTGGACGAATATTTGAATATAGGATTATTCAGTTTTTTAATAATTTGATCTCTAGTTATATCACTTACGTTTTCTGTCTCAGGCCACTTAACATATTTGCGCATAATCTTTTTCAGAGAAAGAAAATTGACAATGACCCAGTTTCCAATATCTATATTTTCGTAATCGACTTCTTCATTTTCTGATTCACTAGAAGCGTCACTGGTAGACATGATAAAATCGGATTCTGGTGATAGTGGTAATGATGCTTCATTTTCTGATGAAGAGTACTAATTGTTTTAATTTTCTCTTCACTCCTTTTGTGTTAATATTACGTTGTTTTTATTTCTTCTTTTGTCTTAACCTAATTTCATTTTCAATTTATAATTTTTCTGAAGTATCTGTCAAGATCTTGGTACTTCCTTTTTTCTTCCTTTACTGGATTTCTTTCTGGCTTCGGCTTTAGGATATGGTCTCAAAACTTCTGGACTTATAAAAGATGAAATTGATTTAAATGAAGTAGAAAGTAACTCATTTAAAGATGGAGGTGAATTAATAGGAGCTGTAGAAATCAGGTGCAAGTCATTTAAAGATGGACCGGAGTTAACTAAAGTTGTTGAAGTTGCGGGTAAGTTTTTTAAAGATGGTGTGGAATTAGCCAAAGATATAGAGTAGAAGTTTTTGGTAGGCACAGTAAATGTAGTAGTTTTGCAGGTGGTTATTGGGGAGCAGTTAGTTACATTTTCTAAATGTTTTAAGTGCCTTGAAAAAGAGAAACTATGCCAGTTTCAGTAGGGATCGTTGCAGGTAAAATTATATCATCTTTATTCGTATTAGCGTCTACATGGGCAGAAGGATTATTCCGGTCTGTAACATATGATGATAAAAATTCATCCTCAGTAAAAATGTCCGAATTGAATGGTGAAATCCCAGTAACACGAAAACCATTTTGAATATTCTGTGGTATCATTGCTTTAGGAAAAGCTTTTCCAAAACAGCCCGCCAAGTCATATATGGTTAATGGTCGTCCAGGATGTGAGGTCATCCAGTCATCACATGAAGCATTGTAATATGCTTTTAAAGGGCCAAATAATGTCCTGTCAAGTTGTTACATTTTATGCGAAGTGCGTGGAGGAATAGTTAGCAAATGAATGCCCTTATATTTTGCATAATTCAGTGATTCTATAGATACATGACTGTAACGGTCGACAAATATCATTAAGCAAGGGGTTTCTTTGGAACATTGAGAGAACTTCTGGAAGTGTTAGAGAAACTTAACGAAAATGGACGCAATCATCCATCCACTAGGATTTGTAAATCCGCATGTCCCTGGTGGTGCATTGTCAGTCATTCTTGGCTGCCAATTTTTTCGAGGGAATATCATATACGAAGGGATATGATTTCCAATTGCATTTATCCCAGTACAAACTGTAACCAACTCTCCACGTTCTCCAGAAGTTACTTTTGAAACTTCTTTTTCTCCTCGGCAAGCAATAACTTTTTTAGGTTGGTCAACAGTCGTAGTTCCTGTTTCATCGACGTTCCAGATTTGTTCAGGGCCAAATTAAAAGCGACCAAGTAAATTACGCAGGTTGTCAAAAACATTTGGAAACATTAAATTTATTAAAGCTGATTGCGCGTCTAAGAATTGTAGCCTGTGGAATACGTAATGAAAGGCACTTGTGTCGCCTCATAAAACTGTAAAACAATCATAAGTAGCTTCACCTCTTTGATGCCATTTTGGGGGATATTTTCTATTATTGTGATAGGCATACACTCGTACGCTAATTTTCGTGAAACTATAGGAGTTAGTCCGTGCTGAAGTTTACTAGTCTTCTGTAAATACTGAACCAATAAAAGTTCTTGTTAATCTGTAAAAACTTGGGACTGTCAGAAATTTGGTCCATAATTAATTTATTTTGGTTGTTCATTCTGTTTCTTTGCGTATCGTTTTAAGGTCATTATAGGCACATCAAAGTTTCTAGATGTACCTCTTATAGATTCGCCTCCCAGTACAGCTTGTACCACGTTAACACTTTAGCGTTTCTAACGGAACTAAACAGCTGGATGGCGAGTACATATTATGAACTTCCCTTATTACCAAGTCAACCATAAATCTGATGACAAGAAGGAATTTAAATTCGGTGTATCATGTCTCTCGTAAGAATCAAGTGTCCCCAGTTTCCCCTGCGTATCGTGCGACAGGCGCTCCGCATACTTTGTTGTCCAATTCATTGTAAAATAGATGGTCCCAGTTTGCATTTTCATACCTGTAAAAGTCTATTATCATTTCAAACGGTTCACTTCGTATAAAATAAATTTATTCCGATTAACTTAGTCAAAAAGAATCCAATTTTCTTAATGGTCCTTTAAATATTATTATAAAGAAACTTGTCATAATGAACAGAACAAGTTTTTTACACTATACCTACATGTATATATGAAATAAGGAAGAAGAGTTGTGTAAGAAAAGGAACATAGGAAAGGAATCAAAAAGGTTTATAGCAAGGAACATCAGAAGAAATTATACTTGCATACCTTTTTAGATCTAAATCTTAGCAGGCCTAAAATACTAACCTTTATTTATAGAGTATAAATAGGTAAAACAAAACCGTTTTAAAATTTATAAATAAGGTTATATCCATAAGTTCTTATTGTTTTTATATATTCATTGAATATTATATTAGATATACCTACAATAAAAATAAATACCACAAAAATTACTATGAATACTATAAAAATGCTAGAAAAATACCATAAAATCACCATTAGAATACCATAAAAATGGTATGGTAAATTACAGACTTTATGACTCCAACGTGACTAATTAAAGAATGCATAACAGCCAAGTTTCAGGAATTCGGGTTCTGAATTCGGGTTCGGAAAAACAAAAACAATAATAATTTCTAAAAATAAAACGTTCACCTACCGGCATAAGATATACAGCTGTATTTACTCGAGTGTGTCTGGAATGTACACGTACAATCAATCCTTTATTGAATTAAGGAGTTCAAGTGTTCTGGCTTTTGTCAGCGAAATAGAATAGACCTTTGATTGATGAGAAAAATATTAAGTTATTAATATAAATTGATTGAATCAAAATTGCTTCATCTCGGCTATAAAATCTAAGAAAATCTTCATCACCTTTAAGATTCTGATTTAGTGATTTAATATTTTATATTTTTAAGATGCAAGTACCTAGTTGAATATTAAAATTATCGTCATTGTTAAAAAATCATTATACGTCTCCGTTTTAAGAACCGAATGTTTTTAGAATTAAATGAATTACGAACTGTTAAAATAATAATAAAAGTGCAAACAAATAGTTACTTTATCTACGATTTTTATTTCAGCTTTGATTAGAACAATAAGATATCTATTTTATCCGTTCCACCTTCACTCACCTATATCGATTCTATATCATAATGTCACTTGTTGAGTTTCAACCCTTATAAAATCGTAAATTAGTTCAGGGTTATTAAGGAGCAGACAAAAGGGAGTGTTCTACTTTCCAAGGGATTTCCTCTGTTACTAACAGCTTAATGACGAAATACGTAGGGAGGGCGTTTTAATATAAACATAAATATACAGTGTCGGTCACTGAACGTTTTCTCATACGGTTTGCACAAGCACGAAACGAATAATATCAGCGTTGCCAGTTTATACGGTCCGACCGCGTAACGTTGGTCGGGCCATATAAGCTTGCAACGCTGATATACTTCGTTTCCTGTACGCTCTAATGCTAACTTTCTATAGTTTTCACATTCACTTGTCCAAACCGTATTGGAAAGCGTTCGATAACCGATACTGTATAATTAATATACGTAATAATATGTAAAAAACTGATTGTTGCGAAAAACATTTAGGATTTCTATTAAATTTACCGATTTTTGTTACAGATAGCCAGCTTTGCTGGTTTATAAAGGAAGATGACGACGGACATCAGTATAGTAAGGTGGGATCCCACCTTACAGCAAGAGATAGTCGAAGATTACGAATACGATGGAGGAAATTCGTCATCGAGGCTTTTCGAAAGGTCGAGGATCAAAGCCTTGGCTGGTAAGTTCAAAAAACAAATTAGACAGAAATTACCGTTGAGTATTATTCCACCATGTTTTTCTTTCTTTATTCAATAGTTAATTAACACTTAATTACAGTTAGTTTATGCTTAGATATGAGATATTTCTTAGCTGGTTACAAACGTATGATTTAAAGAAAAACATTGTTAAAAATACTAAACGATTTTCCAATATTGATTTTCATACATCATGAAGATATTACAATTATTTTTCCTACGACTTCTTACGAAAAGACGTCTATTGGATACAGTATACTTCTAGCGAAAACTTGATTTCCCTAAGAGAAAATCCCATAAGTTTAACTTTCGTTTCTAGTGACGAAAGTAAGTTATTGCGTATTTTTGGATATCATCCGCCTAGTACCTATAATATTTTGGAAGCCTATAAATATTAATAATAAAATAAATTGATGCGTACTTCACTTTTATTGAATTAAAAAGAAAATAAAAATAGTGTAAAATTAAAAAAAAATATCTAGTTATCTGGTGACAGTTGTTCGAAATTTTATTCAGAATTGTTAGTGTCATTTATTAAACATTGTTTTTTTTATATGGCATAATGGAATTCGTAGAAAAAATATAGTGTTTTACTTGTTGAAAATCTTTTTTAAAGCGGGACAACAATATTTATCGACCCAGGCGCAGCCGAGGTTTGTTCTTTAGAACCATCTATATTTCTATTAAAATTAATTAATAGATAAATAAGTAAATTCATTATTGTTGTGTAATATTTTTTCTCGTATTCTTATAAAATTGGAGAAAATCTGATTTCTAATGATCTCGACATTTTATGACATATATTTAAAAAATTAGAAGTTTGACACCGACTGTCTTGATAGCAAGAACTTTTTATCTGATTCTTTAGTTTTATGTGTTTGCTGATACATTTTAAAATTGTTTATTATCATAAAAATAAATAATCAATACGGATCATTAATAAACCATTTTCCATTTTTATCATTTATAAATGTACGGTCTAACCTAAAAAATAGTGTTGTTTCGTTGTTTGAGAAAATACTAGATATTTTACATACAAACTTTAATTATTAAATAAAATATAAAATTACGGTAGTGTTGTTTCAACCTTCTTTATCAAAAGGTAACATCTTTTAAAACCATAATAAATTACTCTGTAGCCATAAATGTCTGTTTACAACTCTACCGGGCACGTTTTTATCCACCGGAATTTGACAAGAGGATCAAATACCCTCGAGACACCCCCATGGAATGTTATTTCCGCCCTGAAATTGACTTTTTATCGCTAACAGGTCCGATTACTTTGGGGAGACTTTATTCCAAATATTTCGGTTTTGATGTTTCTTTTACTAGTTTTATTCGAAATGATGCAGTGCAGCCAGCCAATGCGGAATTTTCTAGTTATTTTTTTTTTCTTCAAATATACAGTGCGAGTCGAAAGTAAGGAATAAGTGCGATATTAATTTTTGGAAAAATTTTAATAACAGGTCAAGTTCTTAAATTGTTGACTTTGAAATTCGGATATATAGGACGATTCGTGTAAATAATAATGATAAAATGTATTATCCAAAGTAATTGAAAATTTATTTAGAAAATAAACTATGGGTTTCAAAATTTCACACTACTTTTTAAATAAATGTTAGAATATTTAGGTTTTGTGTTTTATTTGTTAGATGTAAAGTAAAAAAATGTAAAACCAGGGATATATTTTATAAAACTACTTTGCAACTTTTCACTGTGTACTTTACAAATTTTAATAAATTTATGTTTCATAAAAAAAAAATTGACAAGTGAAAAAGTAAAATTTGAAAAGCAATTTACAACATAAATATGAAATATTTTTAATCTGCAAAATTAACGATATTAATTAATGAAAAAACAAATATTTTGCACTTATAAAAATGGTAAATTTGCAAAGTAAATGAATGAATTAAAATTCATTACCCAAAAATGTTGCGGCCCGTGTAACATAGCAAACATATGTATGTAGCCCGAAGGAAAAAAAGATTAAGTATAACTGGTTTAGAAGAAAGGGCACTTGTCTAGCATACGGGTTCGATCCCTGGCTACGACAGGTTTTTTTTTTCAAATCTCCAAGTATTTGTTTTCAACCTTGTGGTTCAGGGATGGTCTAAATACGTATAGTATGAGAGCCCACTGCAAATTTCGACCGTCAACAACATTGTACTTTACCAATTTGCACCTGTGCCAATCCCTATCCTGAGCAAAGTGGTTGAAAAGAATTATTTTATATTCAAAAAATCGCATAAGACATGACAGCGACAATTGTGTTTTTCCTGATAATTACAATGCTAATTCATTGTGAAACTAGCTTTTAAACCTGACTTATTAATAATTTTACCTACCTTTTAAACCATGTTTATGTATGAAAGGAAGAATGATGGCATTGTATAAACCATTTGCAGAGAGAGTCAATAATAATTATAAACTCTTGTTAGACAATTATTTTAAACCATAATCATAGTAGTTTTTTTGTCGTTTTTATGGCAACCTGTAAAAATGAATCGCAACAATAGGCATACAAATAAATTTTTAAATCAGCAAACATTGATTTATATTTTTAATGATTTTTACCTACTAATCGTGGATAGATGTTTTTGTGAAATATTAAAAGGAAGAAAATGTTTCCCTTTAACGATATATATCAAGATATATTTCAATGATATTTTCAGTGGGCTCTTGGGCTAGTAGGGGTATTTTTGAGATTTGTTTCCGAATTTTCAAATTATTCAATAATAAAATACTTGCGACAATCAGGTTTTCGTTCTGACTATAGTAGAGCTGTAGTACAACTGTTGTACTACAGCTCTACTTGATGTCTCTAATGATTTCTTCAGAGATATTGATGGCAAAAAACAGCAGCACTTGTTTTGCTCGATTATTTCAAGGCATTTTATACTATTAATCATAAAGTTTTACTCTCGATATTATATTTTGTGTTGCTCTAATATTACATGTTAAACTTTTTAATGGCTGCCATGATAACAGAAAGCAATAACTATATACTTCCAACTTTGGGAATATTATAATGAATGTGCTGATGATATTCAAATTAAATTTTCTTTTAGTAATAACGGTTCTTTAGGAGACCAATAATAATCATATTAATCGTTTTGACAGACTAGTTAAACTTTCAAATATTCATCAACTTAATATTTATTAATTCTTCTGAAATGCTAGTAATGCTATTTGGCAAATACCGACATCGGCTACAGATTGAAATGCAGATTCTAGATGATAAGAATATTTTATCATTTTCCTTATCGTATCTTAGGTTTAGTAACTGATAATGACTTGAGGTTTAATTTCTCGCAAACAGGTGCATTCAAACAGCTTATATGAATCTGAAAATCCTTTACCATCGACATACAGGATATACCACTCTTCTGGAAAAGTTCGATATTATCTTTGTTGTAATAGATATTTAAAAAGTGTATTAACAAAATTTGTAGGGTGGCTTGAGGGCCACGCATTTTAATATTACATAACGTGCGTTGCATGACTCACATACGATTACATAGTGTGAAAATTATATATTTTTTTTATACACACGAGTTTTTTAATATCATGTATTATACTTTTCTTTAGTAACGTTTTTATTCTATGATTGTTAGTATACGGGGTGACTCGACTCGGGGGTATTGATTTTCTTGTTTTATTTAAATGGTCCATCCTATATTTTTTATTACCAGTAGATTCCTCTAAAAAAAAGCTTTCCAATTTTATTGAAGCATTCCCTATACCTACAGTTAATATCGATATTTTGTAACATTAAATATAAACATGGTTATTTAGATAAATAAAACTAGTTAAAAATTCATTTTATAAAAAATAATATGTGAAATAAAAAAAGAAACAACATTATAAAAGTTGTAAAGTGACCTCCCATAACATTAATACAGTGTTGTAAACGAAGTTCAGATGATTAACTCACATTTCTTAGCATTTGAATATCAATACTCTGAATTACATTTCTAATGCGAATGTTCATGTCCTTTTTCGTGGTTGCAGGAATATTATAAACTTGATATTTTACATAACGCCACAGACATTTTTGTTAAATCCGCTGATCTAGCTGGCCATCCTATTGGCCCTCCTCTCCCTATCCATCTTTTTGGAAAGTGATTATTTCACCTACAATTCCACCCCAAACATTCTATGACCATCAAATGTAGGTTTGAAGTAGAGTAATAGTAAAAGTTATGCCTATTTAAACATCAATTTTTGTGAAAAGTCGATTCGTCACACCTCAATTTTCATTTAATGTTATCAAATATCGATAAATATTAACTTTAGGTGTGTGTGTGTATATAAGGAATATTTAATAAAAAAAGAAGGCTCATTACATAAGGTTCTACTGGTGATACAAAATATGGGGTGTCCAATTTAATAGTACATACTGCTCCGCGTATCTCTTAAAAAACAATACTCTGCCTGCTCCAACGAAAATAGATTTACAACATACAAAACACAAAACAAAACTTTTAGTCGAAAAATATCGTAAACGAAACAATTGGTTGCGGCAAATATTTGCAATGAATTCAATATACAACACACAATTGTCTTGGTGTGGACGCCCCTTAAGATTTTTCATGAAATACGGAAATTAAATAGTCTCGCATAAACGCAAGAATCCAACTGGCTAGATATGAAATTTAGGTGTGAGTTTCACTTGGCTAATTTGATTTATTCTATTATTTTACATAAATCCTCTCCATATTTTGAAGAAATAACTGTAAGAAAGTTCAAACAATCTTATAAAAAGTTTCTTCTTGTGCAAAGTAAGCTAGGTGTTCAACATTTTACCCAGCGGTTTACTATCTATGGGTTTACCCCTCGAGGGCTGGTGCTTTGAACAGCCTCCACTATTCACGCCTTATTTGGCACGTTTTTTTTTAAGTTATGTGTGTTTTTATAAAAAAAAATGATTATTTTTATTATTATTAAAAAATGCACTTCGTGTTCATTATTTTTTTTTTTTATT